GCTTGTTTGTCTCCTCCAGGTCGGAGCTGCCGTCTGCAGCCGCGGGATGCTCCGCGGTCGAGCGTGGGGCCTCACTCCGCCCGGCGGATGAACCAGATCTCGTTGCGGCGCTGAGGGACGCTGGGGTTCTCATAGACGGCCACGATGTAGGTCTCCTGGAGCACCGTGTCTGTGGAGCCCAGGAGCTCCCAGAAGAGACCGATCTCGCGCAGGATCGTCTCTTCAGTGGTCGTGCCGTAGAAAACCCTGCGGCAAAGCAAGCGGCGTCAGCAACGCTGCCCCCTGGCACATGCCCCTTCCCGTGGGCAGAGCTGCCTGCCCTGAGCACAGGAGAAGGCAGCGGAGCCTGGTACAGCGCTCCCGTGCTGCCGCAGAGCTGCTGGGTCACCTGGTTATCACCCGCAGCGGCGCCCGTTCCACGATGTGGATTTCGGGGTCCGTGGGGATAGGGGGGTTTTGCTGGAACGCTCCTGGCAGGTAAAAGGCAGTTAGGACCTCGCGTGCCAGCTCGGTCCCCTCCTTGGTCAGGTGGATCTCGTTTAGCACTGGCACTGTCATGCCCAGATAGCAACCTGGAAGGAGGCGACGGGCACAGTGAGACGGCTGCCTCCCCGCCGCCTGCCCCGCTCCGCACGGGGCACGGTGGGACCTGCCACCAGCCTGCACGCACCGCTGGAGTTCTCCTTGCAGATGTAGCGCATGAGCTTCATGAAGCTCAGGGAGATGCTCTGCTCGTACATGGGCTCCCCCATGGTGACGCAGGCCCACTTCCCCGCTGGGTACTGCCGCTCCTCGTAGGCGCTGTCCTCAGACTGCAACAGGCCACAGGGAGAGACAAGGCAGGGTTAAGCGCATCTGCAATGCAGCGGGTGAGGTGCTGCAAAAGAACCAGCATGGATGGGGGCATGGGGCGGCCCGAAGGCTTCTGGTCATGCACAAATGGACTTTCTGCTGCTCTCCGAGCTCCGTTCTGCCTGCTCACAAGGATGTTCCTAGTTCCAGGCACCCAAACACTTCCAGGAAGCCTGACTGGATTCCCTGCCCCTTCCCTGGAGGGAATGGAGGTGAGCAAGCTCTCAGGTCCAAGAGAGGGGAAGGTCCAGCTACAGCGCGAGAGCCCTGGCACCCACGGAGGCTGTGGAGGCTGAACACGTGTCCGCTCAGAGCCTCCTGCACCAAGAAGTGATCTGAGGAAGAAGAGTCGTGGAGCAAAGCACAGAGCTTTGCCAGAGGGGTCAGAATCCCCATTTCCAGGGCAGATTTTTTTCTAGACAAAGCCAGCAAAGACTGTGTGGGGGAGGACTTGTGCATGGATGTGCTCCCAGTTCCTGTATGAACCTGGGGGCTCCCCAGGTCTGTTGTCATGCGCTAAGTGAGCCAGGAACTCGCAACCTGTCCCAGTGCTGAGCACAGCCTTCCTACACCCTGACCCAAGCCAGGTGTCCGCTCAGAAAGACAAACCAAAGAGGGTTTGCGAATCACCTGGGGGTTGGATGTATCATCTGCTACATCCGAGAAGAAACCTGTCAACCCCCTGAGACCTGGGGGCTGCTCTTCTTGCAGCCCTACAGTGGCCACCACTATTCTGGAAGGCCAGGTCTGGCAAATAATAGAGCAAAGTTGGGTCACACAGACCCAAAGGCATCAGTCCTCTCTACCGTGGGACCCTCAACGCTGGACTCAGCAAGGTGGCATGAGAACCCAGGTGCCTCCAGGAGGAACAGGGCTTGTGGCACAGACACAAGGCCCAAGAGGGGCAGCCTGATGCTGCCCCCTCCTTGCCTGAGCCTGGGCTGTGGCTCTGACCGCGTGAGGACCATCTGCACTAAGGTGTGGGGGTCCCGGCTCCTCACCCAACCCAAGCGGGGCTCCAGGGACCGTTCCCTAGTGCAGAGCAAGGAGCAGACTCGACCCAGCCCTGGTTTGGGGGAGCCTGGATCCAGCGCGCATCAAGAAGCGCCCCAGCAGGGAAAGCCCCTGAGACCCTGCAGAACAGGGAGGCGGCAGAGCCCCGGCTTGGCCACGTTTCCCGGACAGGAGTGAGGACCCCGGAGCAGGTCCCCTGAGCCCCAGCGCAGCCTCCTCCTCGCCTCCAGGCTGGAATCCGCGCTGCCGCCCTCTGGGATTTGCACGCGCTGGCGAGGGGCAGGCTGGGAAGGGAGGCAGCTGGAAGCGCGCAGCGAGGCCAAGCAGGGGATCGGCACAAGCAGCAGCGGGGCAGAGCAGGGGGGCGCCCCGCGTGCCTGCGGCGCCGCGCGTCCCCGCC